ATATACACACACACACACACATATATTACATATATGTGTGTGTGTGTGTGTGTGTTCTGAAGGCTATTACTCAGCCTTCAGAAAGAAGGAGATCTTACCATTTGCAAAGACGTGGATGAACTAGAGAGTATTATGCTGAGCAAAACAAGTCAATCAGAGAAAAACAATTCTCATATGATCTCACTCATATGTGGAATTTAAGAAACAAAACAGATGAATGTAGAAGAAGGGAGGAAAAAACAAAATAAGATGAAGTCAGAGAGGGAGACAAACCACAAGAGGCTGTTAACTATAGGAAACAAACTGTGGGTTACTGGAGGGGAGGTGGGTGGGGGCAGATGGGGTAACTGGGTGACAGGCTTCAGGAGGTCACTTGATGGAATGAGCAGTGGGTGTTATACGCGGCTGATGAATCACTAAACTTTGCCCCTGTAACATGGCAGGTTAATTAATTGCTCAAATTTACATTAAAAATAAATAAATAAAAAGAAAAATAGATAAAGGTCTTAAAGAGATAGTTCTCCAAAGAAGATTGAGAAGATGGCCAACAGGCATATGAGAAGATACGCGACATCACTAATCATCAGGGAAATGTAAATCAAAACCACAATGAGTTGTTACTTCCCACGTATGAGGATGGATATTGTATTGGTGAGAGTGTGGAAAACCTGGATCCCTTATGCATTGTTTGTTGAATTACTGAGTGGTGCAGACACGATGGGAGACAGTATGGAGGTTACTCAAAAAATTAAAAGGGAGGGGCGCCTGGGTGGCTCAGTAGGTTAAAGCCTCTGCCTTCGGCTCCGGTCATGATCCCAGGGTCCTGGGATCGAGCTCCGCATTGGGCTCTCTGCTTGGTGGGGAAGCCTGCTTCCTCCTCTCTCTCTCTGCCTGCTTCTCTGCCTACTTGTGATCTTTGTCTGTCAAATAAATAAATAAAATCTTAAAAAAAATTTAAAAGGGAAACACCGTGTTGCTAGGTAACATTTCTGGGTGGATATCCAAAAGAACTGGAAACAGGATCTCAAAGATATTTGCCCATCGATGTTCATTGCAGCGTCAGTCGCAACAGTCAAGATGCATAAGCAACCCAAACTCACCGACCGACGAATGAATAAAGGAAATGCATACATATATACAGTGTAAGATTATTTAGCCTTAAAAAGAAAGAACGCTACAACATGAATGAACTTTGAGGGCTTTCTGCTATGTGAAATCACTAAAAGAAAATATTGTACGATTCCACTTACATGACATATCTGAAGTCATCACACTCACAGAAACAGAAAGTAGAATGGTGGTTTTCAGAGGATGGAGGGAGGGGGTAATGGGGAGTTGTTCAATGGGTATGAAATTTCTGTGAAGAAGTTTCAGAGATCGGCTGTACAATACAGTGCATACACTTGGCAATACTGTACGATTCTGTATTGTCCCTGCAAAACTTGCTAAGAGGAGAAAAAAATATTTACTAGCTAATGAAGTCCCCAGCTGGGTTGCTCTGCCTTGCACTCATGAGATTAGCAGATGAAGGGGTCTCAAACATTGTAAAAGCAAAGGTAGGAAGTCTCCCACTGGTGGTCAGTTAAAGTGAACTGGGTTTCGCAGGTATTTCATCCTATATCTGGAACTCCAGCTTGAAAAAATGTGCTAGGGGCGCCTGGGTGGCTCAGTGGGTTAAAGCCTCTGCCTTTGGCTCAGGTCATGATCCCAGGGTCCTGGGATCGAGCTCCGCATCGGGCTCTCTGCTCAGTGGGGAGCCTGCTTTCCCCTCTCTTTCCGCCAGTCTCTCTGCCTACTTGTGATCTCTCTGTCAAAGAAAGAAAGAAAGAAAGAAAGAAAGAAAGAAAGAAAGAAAGAAA